GCTATTTTTCGAGAAATCTCCACTACAATTCTTGCAGATATTAGGCATAACTATTTTTTGGAAGATGAGGAAAATATGACAAGATCAATGTAGTTTTGTAGACCTATTTTCTATGGATCCGGATCCTCTCCTAATGAAAAGTTCCTAATATCTCCTAATAAGGAGATCCTACCCTTTCATTTTCATCATGGCTTTTTATTTTCCCACCCATCCTTGTGGGCCCGCCTTCCAACTCTTCATAATTCTTCATTAGGCTGTAGGGTTTTAAATAGGGATGCTATCTGAAATATCTGAATACATATTAGTCATACTTTTACGATAGTTTCGATTCTTAGATTATGGATTTGTGATTAATTTTGATGATCAGGATGTCTAATCTTAACTTTTCAATTATAATGAACATATGAACGAACTCTTTTGTATCACATGAACTATGTTTTTCTCCATACTATCTAGTTTTCTCATATCCGTTTTGTATTCGCATGCATATATATCCGCTCATATATCTGCATGTATGTCCATAACCGTATTCGATTTTAGCAGATATAGTTATGAATTTTTCTTACCGAGATATATATATCCGTATCCGAGATGGGTGAGCGGATATGGATATGATAAGTATCATATCCGAGCCGTATCCGGACCGAGTGCACCCCTAGTTTTAAAGGTTGGATATCTTGGTGCAATATTAGGGGAACTTTATTTTTCATTTTTTGTGTGTTCTCTTCCATAACACGCAAAACAAGAGAACACGCAAAACAATAAAGGAAAGCTAATAACGAACTTTATCTTTAGGGTTTTAAAATTTAGATGTTTTGGTGCAATATTAGTAGGGGTGCTAAACTGTATCCGTATCCGATGAAATATCCGTAACCGTATCCGTTAGGATACGAATATGGTTACTCAAATCTATAACCGATAGGATATGGTTATGGATATGGTTTTGTAGTGAAATATCCGTATCCGTATCCGAAATATCCGAATACATATTAGTCATACTCTTACGATAGTTTCGATTCTTAGATTATGGATTTGTGGTTAATTTTGATGATCAAGATGACTAATCTTAACTATTTAGTTATAATGAACATATTAACGAACTTTTTTGTATCACATGAACTATGTTTTTCTCAATACTATCTAGTTTTCTCATATCTGTTTTGTATCCGCATGCATATCCGCTTATATATCCGCATGTATATCCGTAACCGTATCCGATTTTAGCGGATATGGTTATAAGTTTTTCTTACCGAGGTATATCCGTATCCGTATCCGAGATGGGTAAGCGGATATGGATATGGTAAGCATCATATCCGAGCCGTATCCGGACCGAATGCACCCCTAAATATTAGGCGAACTTTAGGTATATTGGTGTAGTTTACCCAATTTGAAAATGTAGATTTGGAGGATTAACTAGTTCCGATATCTTATAGCATAGGCCAGTCAGCGTGCACTAACATGTGCATGTTCCGATCATGCAATTCAAGATCAAGCGAGCATCCAATTCATTAAATTAAATTATGGGAAAATTAGCATAAAATTTTGAAAGACCTTCATATTAGCTATGTCAATCTCTGGTTTTATTCTTATAATATTAAGTAATTTTAATATCAAAGTGGTTAACATGATAATTGTTTTCTGAAGGCTAAAAGGCCAATTTGGTCCCTGTATTAGGGCCTCGTGCTCAATTTGGTACCCCTATTTTCTTTTTTCTCAACTTAGTTTAGATACCGCTTGTTACTTATAAATTTAGTTCTTTTTTAATATCTGTTAGAAATTGAATGTCAATTTTGTTTATGACCAAATTACCCTCAAGAGGTCCTTATACTCTTCAACCCTAATAAATGTGGCTTTATACATGAAACACATCAGATATCAAAAATCTTCAATAGGGGAAAAATATATAATTATTAACAAATGGTTCAATGTTTAAACTTTCATTACAACTCCAAATACCTCTTCTATATTATATTACTCCAGAATCGTTTTTGTTTCTTCCAGAAATTATTAATGCTCTTCTCTCATTGCAGTCACAAAATCTTGTCTGGATTTATATACAATTGATGACCATATCATATAATAAATATTATATATATTTATATTATATTATACTAATATATATATATTATATATATATACATATATATATGAGATATAATGGGTATCCATTGTCATAATGGGGGATTTCCTCCTATTGACGCCTCTCACAATCACCATGATTGAGCGATATTATGGGATGATCCCCTAACCGATTGCAACTAATCTCATATTCTAAACTCCAAACACAAAGTCTCTTGGGGTGAACCTTCCATCGTCGTCTGACCCTTCATCGAGAGCCGCATCTGAAAAGTTCTATTCATTTCAAAACACGTTAAATTGATACGATGTGGATACGAAGGTTCAAACGACACTTGCACCCAACTGCGTGTGTTGGGGTTTCTAGAATATGTGTAGATCAAGTTCAACGCGCACCGGATCATCCACACATGTCGCTCATCAGCTGATTTAGAGGCGTCATAGGAGGAATCCCTCCTATGACAAGGATACCCAATTAATCGCTCTCTCTCTCTCTCGTCTCGTCTTCATATATATATATATATACCTTATATATAATATGATAGTATAAAAATACTATTTTAATAAAAATACTCAATACCCTCCTATACTATATTATTATATTATGATATATATATATATATAGCTATATTCTCTTTAAAAGCACGAGTTCGGAAAAATCTTTTTGTAGACAAATATACCCTTAAAATTCAAATTAATCCATTAAGTAAGAGTAAGTTGATAAATTGATGAATTCTTATTGGATATACATAGTATGAAGATAATGATATAGTTTAAATTGAAATGTAAACCTAAATGAATTTATTAAATGTCAAATTTGAGTTCGGGAAAATTTTTTGGTAGACAAAAATACCCTTAAAATTCAAATTAATCCATTAAGTAAGAGTAAGTTGATAAATTGATGAATTCTTATTGGATATACATAATATGCAGATAATGATATAGTTTAAATTGAAATGTAAACCTAAATGAATTTATTAAATGTCAAATTTACAAATGTATACAAGATGAATGGCGTATATGCAAAAACCTAATAAATTAGTGAGACAAGTAATGTTCGTTGCAGAGGTCAAACCCCGGAGCAACGCAGACCTACAAATGTACATAATGTGGAATGAGTATTTGCAAAATCCACCAAACAAATTAAAGAGACAATCGTTTTAAAAATTATAAAAAAATTAAAATAAACGGCTGCGATATGAGGACACAACGTGGCGATTTCTCAACAACTAAAATTCAAGTAGTTCACGACACTACATAATTAGTTTTAAAGTTTAATTATATTATTATTATTTAAATAGAACTCTATTTACAATTGTTATCCTCTCACATGCAACATCACATACCAATGTTTATAAGTCGAAACTATAATAATTTTCATAGCACTTTCATATTCTTCTACAAGTATTTATCTTTGTTATTTTCTTCTTATTAGATTATTTTAAAGCAATTAATTATATTGTATATTTGAACTTTTTTCATATCAAGAAATATCAACAATTTTTACATCACTTTCGTCAATTTTCTTCTTATTAGATTAGATTAAATTATTTTAAAGCAAGTAATTATATTATATGTTTGATTTTTTTTTAGATCAGAAATTGCAATAATTTTCATAGCACTTTTATCTCCTTCAACATATATGTGCTTTTGTTATTTTCTTCTTATTAGATTAGATTATATTAGATTTTTTTTAAAATTATGAATTATAAAATTGCAATAATTTTCACATTATTTTTATCTATTTTCTTTGTATTAGATTAGATTAGATTATTTTAACGTAATTACTTATATTGTAATTTTTTTAGATCACATAGTTTAATTATACTATTATTATTTAAATCAAAGAGAATCTCACACATATCTTAAATCTCAATGCCAATTGTAATATTTACACATTTGCACATGGGTGTTGGTTAAAATAAATTTCATGTATGGGCTTAACTTATATAATCCTACTTTAACCGGATTAGATAATTTAATATATATCCAGAGGACCACAAATATCTTGAAAATGAACGAAGAAATCCACACAAACAAAAATCATATTAATTACCCATACGCACCCACTATTTTCAAAACCATCATTCTCCATCTCCATCTATTATATATCCACATACCAAATTAAGCTGCTGGAATTTTCCCTCACCAACCACACCATTGATCAACCCTCTTTTTTACTTTGTACTTAAATTGTATAACATTCATTGTGATGAAGACTCACATGGGTCCTTTGCCTGCCTTGAACGTCCAACAAAAAAAATAATATACTAAACCTTATAGTTAGTTAATAATGAGATCCTATTATTATAAAAAAACTAAGTCAAGATTAATAATTCTTAAGAATATACTATGTTACCATATCTTCCCTTGCAAACTTGTTAGTTGTTTATTCCTGGTCCGAAGAGATTTTCAAAATTAGTCATCTATTTCATAAAATATTTAAAAATATTTAAATAAAACTTATGGAAAATGTAACAAATCATGTTTATAGATTTTAACTCAAAATGAATCTGACTTATTTTATAGTAAGGAAATAAACAAAATAATAATTTTGATATTTTAACCACGTGCATTGCACGTGCATAAGAACTAGTATTAAATAAATATGTATTGTGTGCTATCAATTAAGGTTAGCCCATTAAATTGATCGAATTTAGGGTTTGAGATTTTAATGCATAATCAAAGTATGTGCCTGTTATGTGTAGAGATTAAAATATAATTGTTAATTCTATGATGGACAAAATTGATAATTATGAATAACCGAATTCCGTTATAACTATGGTTGTGGCTCTCCAAATCTCTACGTATAATCTCTTTTTGATTTTCCATCTTCAGAATGATTAGACTTTCTGTAATGAGTATATATACATACAAGATTTAGAAGATCTACATCTCAGAACTCAAGAATCATATCCTACTCGATGGATTCAGCTATGGTTCTGCATCTTCGTAATTATGTCAATAGTTTGATATGAACAATCTTGTGATTGATTAGGGTTTTAATTATTAAAGCAAAAGTTTTTTTATCTAATAATTGGTATCAGAGCTTTGTTCATGTTAATCTATTGACAATCAATTTTAATTTGTGATGTGATTCTCTTGCATGTTCTCAAATCTGACAATCTTTCCTTTTGAATTGTTTAATTTGAGAATAAAATTTGACAGTTCTTCCTCTTATATATTCTTCATGATTTTGGATTCAAAATAGTTATATATTTTAAATTTTATGAATCCGATTTAGAAGAATTCATGTTTGATTGAAAACTAGGGTTTGTTCATCATGTTATGAAATGCATGATTTTTTTAAAAAATTAATAATTATTTTATTTGCTATAGTCCACTACAGTGTCGGTGAAAAAAATTTCCTCTACAGTTTTTTAGTCATTGTCATTACAGTACCACTGGAAAACAATCTAGTGTTTTCCGATGCAAACCGCTACAGTTTTTGAAAAAAAAAATTACATTGGGCCGCAGATAACAAGCCCATTAAGAAAAGTAAAAAGGGCATCATGCAGACCAGCAGTGAAGCACACAGGCCCACTATGGCATTGGGCTTTTGTTATTTGATTTCTTTTTAATTAATTGCATTAGGCCCACCTGTAATGTTGGGCTCACTTTTTGACTTTGGATTGTTATTATTATTATTTTATTTTTTTATATAATGGCTCAATTGCATATATAATGTCATCCAAACTTTAAAAATATCTATATTTTTTTTTGGAATTTAGTTTTTATTTATTTTATTGGATTCAAAATATTGGCATTAAAGTTTATTAAGATATATGATGTATTGAAAAGAATTGATTGAAACAACATGTTACCAAAGTAGCATCTCTTGTATAGATCAATTTATTTTAAACATCAACATGGTAATGTGTGTATGATTCATGCAAATATTAATCAGCCAAAGGAAAGTTAATATTTGAATAAATCATATGCATACATGTGGTGATAAATATGGACAATTATTCGGTTTTATATGTGAATAATAAATCGGTCCAAAGAAAGGTTTATTGTTTGACATGTCTTACTGTCAATGTTTGATCACTACACTAAGAGTACCACTCACAAATTAATATTTCTGTCCAAAGACTAAATATTAATATTGTGTTAGGTATCTTGAGATGGATATTGCCAATTTTAAATTCACAAATTTTGATTTGGTTTCTTATGTGAGCTTATTCATTTTCTTATATTGTTCTCTGATTCAGCTGTTAGTTCTGCTGCAAACATCACTATCAACATTAATTCCATTCCTATGCTAAATGATGTTAACTTTAAGTCATGGCAAGAGAACGTTATGATAGTTCTCAGAGCCAGTGATCTTGATATTGTGTTAAGGTTTCCTTCTCCTGCACCTCATATGGACAAAAGTTCCACTGATGAGAAAAAAAATATGGAGAAGTGGGAGAGACTAAATCGCATGTGTATGATGATCATGAAAAGGGTCATTCCAGAAGCATTCAGGGGCACTATGTCTGAGAAGATAACTACTGCCAAAGAGTTTCTTGAGGACATTGAGAAAATGTTTGATAAGAATGAAAAGGCTAAAATTAGTACACTTTTGGAAAATCTTATCTTAATGAGATACAAAGGGAAATAAAACATTATGGAGTACATCATGGAGATGTCTCATATTACTTCAAAGCTGAAAGCACTTAAGCTTGAATTCTCAGAGGACTTGCTTGTGCATTTAGTTCTTATATCTCTTCCCACACAATTTAGTCAATTTAAAGCGAGCTACAATCGCCAAAAGAAGACTCGGTCTCTTAATAAGCTCATCTCACATTGTGTTCAAGAAGAGAAAATGTTGAAGTAAGAGAAGACAGAAAGTGCTCATTTGGCTAGTACTTCCAAGGACAAATGGAAGAAAAGAACGAAAAATAAGAAAGATGTAGAAGCTCAAACATAAAAGAAACAACACAAGGTAAAAAATGAAGATAATTATTTCTTCTATGGGGTTGTGGGACATAAGAAAAAATTGTACCAACTATCAGGCATGGCATGCAAAGAAAAGTATAATTTTTAATTTTATTTAGTTTGAGGTTAATTTATCTTCTGTACCTAGACATACATGGCGATTAAATTCTGCTGCCACAACTAACATCAGTGTGTCTATGTAGGGCTGCCTGAGCTTCTGAAAGCCAAGTGATGGTAAGAAATACATCTATGTGGGCGATGGCAAGAAGGTTTAAGTTAAGACAATTGGCACATTTAGGTTATTGTTAAAGTTCGAGTGTTATTTAAATTTGATAGAGACTTATGTAGTACCTTCATTTAGACGAAATTTGATTTCTATTCCTGTATTAGACAAATTTGATTATTCTTATTCTTTTAAAAATGATAAGTTTAGTCTTTTTAGAATCCAAATTTGGTTGGTATTAGCTATTCATCTTATGCTGATAACCTTTATTTGCTTGATACGGTTGTTTCATATCATGAAACCTTGCAATTAAGCACTTAAGGTGTAAAGAGAACATTAACCAATGAGAATTCTACTTTGTTATGGCACAAGAGATCAGGTCACATCTCCAAAAGGATCATTGAGAGACTTGTGTTATATGGGATTCTAGATCCCCTTGATTTTACAAACTTTAAAATTTGTTCTAATTACATAAAGAGAAAATAAACAAACATAAGGAAATTTGGTGCCAACAATGCTACATATATCTTAGAACTAATTGTTAGACTCTAGAGGGGGGGGGTGTGGTTAGGGTTTTATGCTAATCTAATCAGATTTTATGCCAATTAAAAACTAATTAACAAGTTATCCTAGCAAGCATGAAATACAACAAGATACATGAGCTAGGATGGACAATATGAACTAATGAATATATCCTAGCAATGAGATATTACAAATATATGAGCAAGGATATATAAACTAACACAAGGGGAAAATAAACAATACAAACACACAATATGATCACGAAGTTCGGACCTTCCGTCCTACGTCTCCGCTCCCCACTCTCGGGGAGAAATCCATTATCACAACCGGGTTTTCTACGCTTATCCGAACAACGTTTACACCTCACACTCGGTTTTCTAGCTAACCGAAAACTTTACAATCAACACTCTTATAATCCCACTCTACACCTACTAAGTGTTGGAACTAGATGTGTATCCCTCAAGTGCTCGGATACAACCTCTTCCTAGGTTCGTCAACCGATGCCACTCTTCTTGGGACGATCCCCGACTTTCGTCACACACTTCTCTCGGTGTACAAGTGTATTACAAAGTAAACCTCACAATAAGCATAATACAATAAATGATTGTTCTCTAATATGGATGAGAACACAATGAAAACTCACACTTAATTGTTACAACTCTCACCAACCTAAATATACTATGTATGAAAATATAATAAGCTCAAGTGGGTGTGTGTAAACAATGAGTGAAATAAAATCTAAACTCAATATAAAAACTAGCTTTAAAGAATGATAATCAAACAAATATGCAAATGTAAAGCTAGATAAGAGTTTAGAAATTCTTCTCCGAAAAACAAGATGGAGAGATGGATTAAGATGAAGCTCAATCGATGTAGATGATCTCCTCCACTTGTGTAAAACTTCTTCCCAAACAAAAAACTCTTTTAAACAGACACTAAACAAACTTAAACAAAACTTAAACACCCTTAAACTTATTTTTAAACTTTTTTAGGTAGTTTGAACTGAGGATATGTGGGGGTATTTATAAGAAACCCAAAGCTAAGAGAAAACAAGACAAAAAAACCAAAAACCCAAAAACAATACGGTCTGGAAATATAGCCGTTACAGTGTTATGAGTCGACTCGTACTTTTATGAGTCGACTCATAAGTAGCTGTTACAGGCTAAAAACCAACTTATGGGTCGACTCATAAAATTCATGAATGAGTCGACTCATAAGTAGCTGTTACAGGCTAAAAACCAACTTATGGGTCGACTCATAAAATTCATGATTCGACTCATCATGCATGGGTTGACTCATGAATTCATGGGTCGACTCAGAAGAAACAAAACTAGTTTTTCAGCACACTTCATGAGTCGACTTATGACTGGCATGAGTCGACTCAACCTGATGGGTCGACTCATGATGTTATTAGTCGACTCGTCAGAACCAAAATGTAAACTACACAACAGTTTATGAGTCGACTCAACATTATTCATGAGTCGACTCATGACATGTACACAGCCTGTTTTAAACAGTACATGTCAACATAAAACAGGGTTTAAAAATATCAAATAAATTCAGAAAAAATATAAAACTTTGGAAAATGATTGTAGACATGATAGTAAACATGCTACAGAAAATGGTTTTAAAAAGGACCTCCCAAATGAAAAATATCATTATTTTGCAAAATAGTTCAAAACATGAAAATGTAAACATATGAATTTTGACATTTTGGCTAAACCATGTTTTGAAACAATACAAAATGATTTTGTAGACTTAATAGAAGATGTAAACTATTGTTATGAAGTCTATAAACAATGAATATAGTATTTTATCAAAATACACATAATGCACTAAAACATGATTTTATGGAACTAAATAAAATTGATATTGATGAAATCATATAAATGCATATAAGTATGACACAAAAATATGTTTTTCAATTGTATTCAATTGTTTCATAGTAAAACTTGAAACCTATCAAACCAAAATATATATGTATATATAACTATATATATACAAAACCAAAACGTGTATGTGTGTATATGATTGAGCTTAAAGTACTAACACACATAATATAAACCTAAACTAAATATACCCAAGCTTGTGATCTTCAACGAAGCTCTATCTTGGTACACTGGCGGATGAAGCTTGAACTTAAATCTTTAACTTGAATTACAAGGCTTCAACCACTATTCCACCAACCTCCATTGAATATGATCGTTGAAGCTCTAATCCATCCATCCTCCAACATATTGTTTGCCTAGAATAAATACAAAATACAAACACTAGACAAACAATATTAGATATAAATTGTTTGTAAATCATCATCAAAACAAGAAGGCCAACACTAATATATACAGATATTTATGAGCAATTTCTTATAGTTTCTTAGAATGGTCAATAATATTTTATCATGTTTATCGATGATTTTTCTCGTTATGACTACCTTTTTCTCATACATAAAAAATCCCAATCACTGGGCGTATTCAAAGCTTACAAAACTGAAATTGGGAATCAACTTAATAAAAGTATCAAAAACGTTAGAATTTATCGTGGTGGTGAGTATTACAACAGATATGACGGTGCAGGTGAACAATGTCTAGGACCATTTGCTAAATTCCTAGCGGAGTGTGGTAACGTCCCCGTACACTATGTCTGGTTCTCTTACCATGAATGGTGTTGCGGAAAGACGAAATAGAATGCTCAAGGACATGGTAAGGAGTATAATTAGTCATTTCAACTTATCAGAATCTCTCTAGGAAGAAGCATTAAAAACTGCAGCTTACATACTCAATAGAGAACTCACAAAAGTGACTGCCAAAACCCCTTATGAACTTAAGCTAGTCTAAAGCATTTGCACATTTGGGGATGTCCAGCTGAGGCTAGGCCTTATAGGCCACATGAAAAGAAACTGGACTCTAGGACGGTCAGCTACTACTTTGTTGGTTACTCTGAGAGTTTCAGAGGTTACAAATTTTATGATCCTACTTCCAAGTTAATATTTGAGACGGAAAACGCTCAGTTCTTTGAGAATGTTGAGTTTGTGGTAGGAGATAAGGTTAAGGGCTTTGTCTTTGAAGACGAATATGTTAATATTCCCATAGTTGCTATTAACATTGATTAGACTTCTATTACTGACATTGTTCAAAAGACAGTTCCAAATCAAGACAATGTCATTGAACCTCCATTTATAGAAATTATTCTAGATGAACAAACTCTACCACCTTAAGAACATGTGTCATTAAGAAGATCCACTAGAGGAACGAGAAGTGCAGTTCTAAATGATTACATTATATTTCTTCAAGAACATAAGGATAACATCATTATGGAGAAAGTTGATCCAATCAACTTCCGTCAAGCCATGAAAAGTTCTAAATCTCAATAGTGGATTGATGCTATGGATGAGGAGATAAAGTTTATGAAGGACAATAACGTCTAAGATCTTGTCCCGTTGTCTGAAGGCACAAAACCCATAACCAAGAGAGACTCGAAAGGCGATGTAGAGAGGTACAAAGCTCGTCTTGTTGCTAAAGGCTTTACACATAAAGAAGGTATCGATTATAAAGAGACTTTCTCTCTAGTTTCATCGAAAGACTTTTTAGGATAATAATGGCACTTGTGGCACATTTTGACCTCGAGTGACATCAAATGGATGTAAAGACTGCATTTCTTACTGACGGACATTGATAAAAAAAATTATTGGTGCAATCAGAAAACTTTGTGTTGGGAGGTGCAGAGAAGATGGTTTATAAATTGAAGAAATCCATCTATGAGCTTAAGCAAGCTTCTCGTTCGGGGGGGTTTGGGGGGGGGGGTGATTAGGGTCTTATGCTAATCTAATCCTGATTAAATGCCAATTAAAATTATATTGATTAATTTGTTCTTGCTAGAATTATATGATATGGATATGAACAAGAATGATATGAAAAAGCACAAATAAAATATACACTAAG